TGAGCCTCAATTTAGCAATATTAGTTTTTAAATCAATCATTTAAAAATCATAGAATCCAAACACCACAGAAGAGCTCGTCCTCACAGTCATGTGTGAAGGCTGAGGCCATATTTTGAGGTAAAAAACATGTTTTTCTGCAATTTTAACTACAATAATCTATACATGACTATGGAATATATGAATTAAATGACATAAAAAAAATAAAAGCCAAATAAATATATAATTACAAATATATAATGAAAGTTGTCCCCAGGAGTCGTGTCACTGGTGTTACTGCGTATCAAAAAATCTCTTATTTTAAAATAAAAGTCACACTGATGACATCACTTGACTTCCTTTTACCTGTTTTCTGAGGATCTATGAAGAAAAGCTCATGGTGAGTCCACTGAGTCTTTCAGTTATCAGAGATTTTCTCATTTAGCTCATGATTTCATATGAAGCTTTTAGCTGAAGTCACTGGTGTGACCCACTTTATTCTGAGGTAACTGTGAAAAAATAGAATACAAATGGATTAAATTCCATATTTTAGTGGATATTCCATGATTGACAACATGTGGTTTGATGCTCTGTAGCAGTTATTCTGTAAACTGCATTATTCATTAAAAATGTCTCTGGTGTTCCTTTATTATGTGGAACACCAGTGGGGATCAGTAACACCAGTGACTCCTATGGAGAGACAGAAAAGTGGACGTTTCTGTAGAATGACCCAAATAATAATTATCATAATAATAATCATCATCTTTATTTAGCACCTTTTGCTCAATGCTAATAGATGTCTAGCTCCTGCTGTGATGGTGAGAATTAATATTTTAAAAATAAAGCAGAAATTTTATATGTAGTGTGTATTTGATGAATATTATTGACGTACTGAGCAGCTAGCATTAGTAAGCCAAAGTGGACGAATAAAACAGTTTAGCGTCTGTAGCCTAGAATGATCTAACTACCTTATTTAAACGTAAAGGAGCTCAATGTTAATATATTAATAAATTCACTCTACATATAGAAGCTCTGTTTAAAACAGAAAGCTGCTTTATATTATCCAGCTGGTAAAAACAGTGAAGGCTAAGGTGTTTGTGGGCAGCGTTCATAGATATACAGACCTAGACGCCGCGTTGGGTCCAGCCAGGCACGTCAACGACACCGCCATTTTGGGGCGGTCAGCATCGCTGCTGGACTGCATTCAGTACCATTACAGAGCGGCAGTTTAAGAAAGATACTGTCCGAAATTACACTATTTCAGGAATATCACACTCAGAAAGAGGGATAGGATTATATAACGGAGGGAACGCAGTGATCCACACTCATGTCTGTGTGATGTGTATTGTTTGTGTGGTGTTTGTGTAGATATGGCCGTGTGGTTAATGAAGCTCAGAGAACCTGTTGATGTGATTGTTTTTCCTCTGGTTTTATATTAAGCTCATTTCATTTAATAGTCTATTCAGGATCTTAACTTTATGTAGTAGTTATTTATTTACAGTGATGGTTAAAGCTTTGTAGCTCAGTGAATTATAGCATTAATCTGTGTAGATATTCATAATAGATTAGCGTTCTTACACGAAGCTGAAGTCAGCTTATTTGCCAGCTTCTTGTTCGAATTTTCCCGTTCCACCTTAAATGGTGCAGCTTCAGGCACCAGAAAGAAGCTGGAGAATAGGAAGCCAATTTTAGCTTCATCCTTCTTACTGTCTTTGTGGGTTTAAAGTCAAGTCAAAGTTTTATTTTATTTTTACGTGTATTAAGATTAGAAGTGATTCACACATTGATGGATTTGCCGATGTGTCTGGTCCTGACGGATAATTATCACGATCAGTTATTAAAGTAATAAAAGCCACCGAGAGCAGATCCGAGCAGGCTGGATTAATCTGTGTCTGAGGATTATAACTAAACAGATGTGGTGAAAGTCGGTTGAGTATTAAGAAAGTTGTTGTGTATAGCTGTGGCAGTGTTAGCGTTAGCTACTGTAAATGATGTTTCAGCCAGCATAGCCAGGTTAGCTAGCTAAGTATAATAGCCAGATAGAGTCGCCAACCGTCCCGTTAAATACGGAATCCTCCCTTAGTTAGAAACTAAAAGTGAACAGATAAGGACGCGCTTTGTTTTGAGAATCAGTTCTGTGCAAATCTATAGGAGAGAAATATTACAGGTCAGACTGTTCAGACAGGGCGGACAGAAGGAAACCCCGCTGCTCTCCACGGCGGCGTTTTAGGGCCACTGTTAATAAAGATAAAAATAGTGGACTTAGAGGAAAAAGTAATATTTCGAGTATAAAGTAGTAATATTTCGAGGATAAAGTCGTAATATGTTGAGGATAACGTCGTAATATTTCGAGATACGGCTCAGCCGTTTCAGCCGACTCTTACACTAATAACAGGCTGGTGCTGATGTGCAGGAGAGACAGGGAGACTGAGTGTTTCTTTATGGGTGAATCGATATGAAAGTAGAACTCCACCAACTCACCGCCCCTCATTTAACACGAGGAGGTGCTGCGTCCCTTCGCAAAGCCTTTGGCCACAATATTGCGACCTTTTCTTGGTATTAATGCCACTTTAATGTCGGAATTCTACGACTTTTTTTCTCAAAAATGTTTTTTTTTAATTATTATGACTTTTTTCTCGAAATATTGCGGCTTTTTTCTCGAAATAGTGCTTTTTTCTAGAAATATTGCGACTTTTTTTCTCGAAATAGTACGACTTTTTCTCGAAGTATTGCGGCTTTTTTCTCGAAATAGTGCTTTTTTCTAGAAATATTGCGACTTTTTTTCTCGAAATAGTACGACTTTTTCTCGAAGTATTGCGACTTTTTTCTGGAAATAGTACTTTTTTTCTCGAAATATTGCGACTTTTTTCTCGAAATATTGCGGCTTTTTTCTCGAAATAGTACGACTTTTTTCTCTAGATAGTACGAGTTTTTTCTCGAAATATTGCGGCTTTTTTCTCGAAATAGTACGACTTTTTTCTCTAGATAGTACGAGTTTTTTTCTCGAAATATTGCGACTTTTTTCTCGAAATATTGCGGCTTTTTTCTCGAAATAGTACGACTTTTTTCTCTAGATAGTACGACTTTTTTCTCGAAATATTGCGACTTTTTTCTAGAAATACTGCGACTTTTTTCTCAAAATATTACGACCTTATTCTCAAACTCTACTATTTTTGTTTGTAACAGCGGCCCTGAAACGCCGTCGTAGCTCCCCCTCAGCCTGTCTGTCATGTTATATTCAGGACCCAAACAGAGAGCGTGACTCTCGACCAATGAGAGGTGCTGACAGCGTTGCTACGATACAGCCGCGCGAGACTTAGAAAATGGCGGAAACTCAGATAACTATAAACATTACATCCGAGCGCGTTGATGTAGTAATTTAGGGGCTGAACCAGCGGCTCCACCTTAAACAGTACAGCCTGGCGTCCTGACTGTAACCTGTACAGTGGCACAGATATACACACCTGGATGCCGCGCTGTCTGCTGTTCTCTATGTGAGGCGATACGTCTGCGCGTCCGCCATGTTGGAGCGGTCAAGATCCGCTTGTAAACAATTCACTTGTATTGAGAGACGACGAGTCAGGATTAAATCAGCCACAACTTCCTTACTACTCAACCGACTTTCACCACATCTGTTTAGTTATAATCCTCAGACACAGATTAATCCAGGCTGCTCGGATCTGCTCCCTGTACCTTTTACTTTATTAACTGATCGTGATAATTAGCCGTCCGGACCAGCGGGAAAGTATTCAGTCTGCACCTGACGTGAGATTAGCGCGAGAAACATCAGCAAATCCATCAGTGTGTGAATCACTTCTAATCTTTATACACAGAAGGGCGGAGCTAAAGTCGGCTTCCTATTCGCCAGCTTCTTGTTCGAGTTTTCCCGTTCCACCTTAAATGGTGCAGCTTCAGGCACCAGAAAGTGATTGCTGCACCATTTAAAGTGGAACGGGTAAACAGGAAAATTCGAACAAGAAGCTGGCTGATGCACCATTTAAGGTGGAACGGGAAAATTCGAACAAGAAGCTGGTAAATAAGAACCTAACTTCAGGTTCGTATAATAAGGTGCTAATCTTCCTACGAATTAAGGAGTGTAAGGACTATTAAATGAAATGAGCTTAATATAAGAAAAACAATCACATCAACAGGTTCTCTGTGCCTCATTAACCACACGGCCATATCTCTACACATTAACACCACAAAAACAATACACATCACACAGACATGAGTGTGGATCACTGCGTTCCCTCCGTTATATAATCCTATCCCACTTTCTGAGTGTGATATTCCTGAAATAGTGTAATTTCGGACAGTATCTTTCTTAAACTGCCGCTCTGTAATGGTACTGAATGCAGTCCAGCAGCGACGTTGACCGCCCTAAAATGGCGGCGCCGTTGACGTGCCTGGCTGGACCCAACAATGCATCTAGGTCTGTATATCTGTGTACAGTGGATAGAGATTAGATGCAGTTGAAGTTAGCTTCTTATTCTCATTTCCCGTTCCACCTTAAATGATATAGCTTACTAAAATGAGGCGAAATCATTAAAAAATAAAGTAATAATAGGTGCCTTGTGCTTTGATTGATAAGTTTTTTTTTAAAACTAAGATTAGAAATTATTTGACATATAAACTACATTTTTAAAAACTTGGCAAACTGATGTAAGATTCATCATAGGTAAAATAATTTAAAGATTTTCTTTTTGTGCTTAAAAATTGATGTTCCAGTTAATTTCCAGTTTTTACTCTTGTTTGTGTACCGTCATCCTGTGTTTAATAAACTCACTGATGAGCAAACTACTGTAGTTTAGTGTATGTAAATGACCTCAAAGTGGTTTTCACTAATGTAACATCAGCTGAGCATTATAAAGGAGAACTTTGGTATCACAACTATAGTTCTAAGTAATGTAGTTTTCAGTAGTGTAGCTATTCACACTGTTAAAACTGTCAACATTAAATGTATATAATTTAAGACATCTGCAAAATATCAGTGAAATATTTTAAATTCACCAAACCAACAATAAAAACACAAAAGCACTTTTAATAGGAAAAGACAACGTATTGTGTTTTAATAGAACAAGGCACATTGTAACCAGAAACTGCAAAACATTTCTATTTGATCAAAATGTCTTTTGTAATATAAAACCCAGTGCATGATTGTGAAGTGTTTTGATTATTAATAATGATATTTTGATCTGTGTGAGTAAGCGTGAGGCTCCATTATAAAGGTTTAAGGTTACAGGTGGGGTAAATAAACATTAGCATCTCATTATAAGGGTTGTTTACTGGCACATTTTAGCCCCGTCCGGTCAGTTTAGCTGTACTCTCCGCAGACGCCCACCGTCTTCCCGTCCCACTCTGACGTGGACAGACACTTTACGAAGAAATGGCCGAGATCGTATTTGGAAATGACTCTTCCTTTCAGCATGTTCTCAGTCACGGTGTACTTCTCCGTCAGAGGATGGTTATCTGCGGAGGAGGAGGCCGTTATTGACATCACAGTTCACTTTAACACGTAAATGTGTCCATATGGTACATTTAACGTTCATCTGATGTTCTAGTACATAGAGGAGCACAAACAATCACATTTAAGACATTTTCACCAAATGTAGTCGATCTGCTGAGTCGTGTTTGGAGTCTGAAGTTTGCTTCTTTGTTTTGGCGCTGGAGCTACGAGGCTAATGTAGCTAACAAGTAATGGAAGCTTATACTCCATCAATTAGCATGATGCTAACCCTGTGGAGGTGTTCAGTCTCTCTAATAGTCTTGATTCTGTGGTTTCTGACTCTGTGTGACTCACTGTTATCTAGAAACATGGACTAAAGTACAAAAAACAGTAGCCATCTTCAGTTAGCAGTTAGCGCTATGCTGATAAGCTTCCATAACTTGTTAGCTACATTAGCCTCATAGCCACAGTGCTAAAGCTAAAGAAGCAAACTTCAAACACTGAGCATGTCTTAGCAGAACAACAGTATTTGGTGTAACAGGTTGAGTGCTGGGTAAATTTGATTTATGGCCAAACTTTATGGCTTTAAACTGAAATGGTTTGTTTGTGGCTCTCATAACTACAGAAATTGTACATTTCTTGGTAGTTGCTGGATAATAACCTGATATTTAAGACATTAAAATAGAACATTTTATCAACTTAAACAGTATAACAAAAAGGTATTCAATGAAAACAGTGGAATTACAGAAAACAGGATTTATACTAACAGGTATTCAGTTTGTTTACTGTTTTTAGATGCAACACTTGGACTTGGCTAACTTTCTGAGCATGTCTGAAAGCTGCAGATTCTCCACAAAAGTACTGATTGGTTTGCATTACTGCCACTGAGTGCTGATTGGTTGGCATTACTGCTACTGAGCGCTGACTGGTTGGCATTACTTCTACTGAGCGCTGATTGGTTAACATTACTGCTACTGAGTGCTGATTGGTTAGCGTTACTGCTACTGAGTGCTGATTGGTCAGCATTACTGCTACTGAGTGCTGATTGGTTAGCATTACTGCTACTGAGCGCTGATTGGTTAGCGTTACTGCTACTGAGCGCTGATTGGTTAGCGTTACTGCTACTGAGCGCTGATTGGTCAGCGTTACTGCTACTGAGCGCTGATTGGTCGGCATTACTGCTCCTGAGCGCTGACTGGTCGGCATTACTGCTACTGAGCGCTGATTGGTTGGCCTTACTGCTACTGAGCGCTGATTGGTTGGCATTACTGCTACTGAGCGCTGATTGGTTAGCATTACTGTTCATGAGTGCTGATTGTTTAGCATCACTGCTACTGAGCGCTGATTGGTTAGCATTAATGCTACTGAGCGCTGACTGGTTAACATTACTGCTACTTAGTGCTGATTGGTTAGCGTTACTGTTACTGAGTGCTGATTGGTTAACATTACTGCTACTGAGCGCTGATTGGTTAACATTACTGCTACTGAGTGCTGATTGGTTAGCGTTACTGCTACTGAGTGCTGATTGGTCAGCATTACTGCTACTGAGTGCTGATTGGTTAGCATTACTGCTACTGAGCGCTGACTGGTTGGCATTACTGCTACTGAGTGCTGATTGGTTAACATTACTGCTACTGAGCGCTGATTGGTTAGCGTTACTGCTACTGAGTGCAGACTGGTTGGCATTACTGCAACTGAGCGCTGATTGGTTGGCATTACTGCTACTGAGTGCTGATTGGTTGGCATTACTGCTACTGAGCGCTGATTGGTTAACGTTACTACTACTGAGTGCTGATTACCAGCAATGTGGGGGGGCATAACAGCCACATAGTCCAGCCCGGACTCCTTCAGCACTGTGTACATCCTGTCATGGTCTTCAGTGACGGGGACCAGGCGGGGGGGCACTTTAGCTCTGTCCCACAGCAGAAAGGCTAATGCAGGAGAAAGAAAGGGCAAAGGGCACAACCCAGATTTAAACAACAACAATAATAATAATAATAATGATGCTAATAATAAACTTTATCTATAAAGCACCTTTTATACAAACAGCAACAAAGTGTTTTACAGTCATGTGATTTAAATAAAATTAAAGTAGAATTGAAGTGTGGTAATTTCTTCTAATTTATTTATTTAAAAATGATTTTTTATTAATTATTTAACACATTATTTTGCAATTCTATTTTAATTATTTTAAATTGATTTTTCCAAATGTAAATAGTCATTTATGTGGTCAGTAAATGTTTATTTGCTCATAACAAAACACTAATATTAGAATAAATACAGAAAACATTAATACAAAAAGAGGTATTTTTATGTCTGTAGGTGTTTTAGTTGTTAGATTTCTTGCCCTCACCTCCAGGAAGCCCAGTATTAACTATATTTATCATCCAATACCTGTTCTATCTAATCAACATGTAATGTTAAATTAGGTGCTGCGGATGGAATTTAATAAATCCATGTGATGCTAGAGGAGAAATCTGGAAGTAAACTTTGTTCCTCAAACATTCTCACAAGACATCAACTACTAATTTCAAAGTTCTTGTTAGTTTTTTTTTTTTACTGTATTTATGTTTATTTCTATCTGTTCTAATGCTATATGGTGTTTTTACAAGCAAAAACACACTCAATGCTGAGATTAAAGGTTTTAAACAATGTGTTTAGGTGCCTAAAACTTTTGCACAGAACTGTACACCAATCAGGCATAACATTCTGACCACCTCCTTGTTTCTACGCTCATTGTCCATTTTATCAGCTCCACTTACTATATAGGTGCACTTTGTAGTTCTACAGTTAGAGACTGTAGTCCATCTGTTTCTCTGATACTTTGTTAGCCCCCTTTTACCCTGTTCTTCAGTGGTCAGGACCCCATGGACCCTCACAGAGCAGGTACTATTTGGGTGGTAGGTCATTCTCAGCACTGCAGTAACACTGACGTGGTGGTGGTGTGTTAGTGTGTGTTGTGCTGGTATGAGTGGATCAGACACAGCAGTGCTGCTGGAGTTTTTAAACACCTCAGTGTCACTGCTGGACTGAGAATAGTCCACCAACCAAAAATATCCAGCCAACAGCGTCCTGTGGGCAGCATCCTGTGACCACTGATGAAGGACTAGAGGATAGTACCTGCTCTGTGAGGGTCCATGGGGGTCCTGACCACTGAAGAACAGGATAAAAGGGGGCTAACAAAGTATGCAGAGAAACAGATGGACTACAGTCTGTAACTGTAGAACTACAAAGTGCACCTATATAGTAAGTGGAGCTGATAAAATGGACAATGAGCATAGAAACAAGGAGGTGGTCATAATGTTGTGCCTGACCAGTGTACATAAACAATGAGTAGAGCTTTCTAGACACTGCTGGAGATGCAAAATTTGAATTTAAAAGATCTGAAAAAAGTTTTAGAAGGAGCAAACTGGTGAAAATAAGATAAACGATGTTGCCACGTTGTCTAAAATGTGAGATTTGATCTTGTCGTGAAGCTCAGCTCTGTGAAACGTTGGTTTAAACAGTCGTACCGGACATGCAGGCGATGACCTTACGGATGCCGCGGGCCTTCATGGCCTCCAGGATGTTACGGGTTCCCTCAGACATCATGGTGGTGGGACCTGCAGGTGGAATGAAACAGTTCTGATAAACGTGGCAGAAATATGACGATGGAGTGAGCAGATATATTCACCACCCTGTGCATGTCTCTGATCTTCACTCACTGAGGTCGTTCCTGGTGCCCAGGATGATGATCACCGCGTCCTGACCCTCCAGCGTCTTCTTCACGTCCTCTTTATTCAGCACATCTCCCACCACCACTCTGGAGGCTTTGTGGTCAGCAGGCAGCCTGGACGGATCCCTGACCAACACTGTGACGTTATAACCTGGAACAACAGCAAATAATGCAACTAAATTAATCTACCATGAATTATTCATTAACTACTATTAATTATTCAGTAACTGTTATTAATGATAAAGAATCTACTATGAATTATAGAGTATGTACAATATATTACTATATAACAATATATATATTTAATCTAATTATTCATTAAAAACTATTAATTATTCAGTAACTGTTATTAATTATAAAGTACCTGCTATGAATTATTCATTTACTACTGTGAATTACTTAATAAATACTATTCATTATGTACTATGAATTATAATAAAATATAATTATTCAGTAAATACTATTAATTATAAAGTATCTACTATGAATTATCAATGAACTACTATGAATTATTCTGTATATACTATTAATTATTCAGTATGTATTATGAATTATTGTATAATATATTATACAATTCAACTAGTATTAATTATTCAGTAACTATTATTAATTGTTTAATACCTACTATGAATTATTTTATTCAGTTCAACTCAATTTATTGACATTAACACAACCTACAGGCACATATGTAAATGAACAGAGCACTAAGGTTTCACTAAAAACAGCCCAAAGGGGGCACATAGGGATATACATATCATAAAATATATATGTACATAAAGCCATATAAAGACATATATGGAATAAGTACAGATAAAAGCACAAAAGTAATATCTAATACAATATCTACTATTACATTGTCAGTATTTACTATGAAACTATCATGAATAATTAAGTAACTACTATGAGTTCTATAAACCGTATCTACAGTAAAAGATGAATGTGAGTTCTGTAGTTGTCAGAGAGAGAAACTGAATGATCTCTCTGATGCACGGTCACATGAGAATGTACACATATACTGCAGTATACAGTAACTTAGTAAAACTGTAACTCAGTAAAGGTTTTACTGATTTACGTTCAAACATCCAGATTAGTCACTAACTGCAGTTTAGTTAATGTATTCTGAGCTCTTGGAGCTCCGCCCTCTCTGGGGCTCGCAGATAAACGGCGATTTGAACATTGTGCCTTATCTCTGACTCAGCAGCGCACCATGACTCGACACAAACACACAACTTCTGCATGACTCGGCACTTTCACTACTGTCTTATGATCAGAACAATCAACGACAGTAAGGGGGGAAAAAAGAGAACCTGTTTCTGATTGTTCAGCAGCTGAACTAGAATTAGATTATATTTCATAATAAAAGGCCGGTGATGATTCAGCGAGCGCATGCTCAGAACTAACGAGTGTATAATTCACTCCAATCAAATTACAAAGCAGTTTTGTTTACAATAATACTCGTAATGTTATGATTTATGGATTCCCATCTCTCGTTTCTAACCGCCGTAACCTCCCTGATGGCTCGCCTGCCAACTGAGGTTATTCATTACTGCAGTTACTGCTGCTCGGGTTACAAACAGGCCTCAGTGTTTAGATCAGTATTTAACTAAGTGGAGCTTTAATTATATCCCAGTATTGATTTTCAGCCTAATGTGACTCTTTATGCTGACCAGAATCATTATGCTAATATGGATTCCCAGTATGGCTCACAGTATGTTAACTACATCCCAGCTAGTGCTCAGTATCTCAGTATTGTTCTTATCCCACCGTGCTGAAAAACTCAGCACAGCAGCACACACTTCATGTTGGTCCAAGCTGGTTTAAGCTGGTCTAATCTAGTCTAAACTGGTTTATGCTGGTCTGGTTCTGGTTTGGCTGGTCACCCCAGCATGGTCATGCTGGTTGACCAGCATACCAGCATTCAAAACACAACATAGGCTGGTCTATGATGGTTTTTCTAGCAGGGAATATGACGATGTAAGCATGTTTCTTAAAGCTAGTATTGTTTCTAACAGGATATAGCATATAAACCACTATCATAATGACACTTGCAAGCATAAAGAGTCATATTAGCCTAAAAAAAATCTATACTGGGATATACGACTCTCCCAGAGTGATTCTTTAATCCAGTATAACTCTCTAGCCCAGCATAACTTTTAATGCCAGTATACATTTAAACACAGTTTGACTCTTTAGGCCAGTGTTGGTGTTTATGTTAGTTCAGGATGACGTTTAACCCAGAACTGATTTTTTATGCTGAATGCTTATGAGTTTCCCAAAAGGGGAATTAAAAAAAAAATCTGCATAGTCCAGTGTGTGAGATGTAATCAGAGAGATTCAGAGCAGTTTGGTGTGAAATGGTTCAGATGTCTTTACAGTGGTGGTGATAGGAACCAGGGGTCGCCATGACTACAACACAAATATAGACATTTTATTTACTATCCAGAACCACCAGTGAACCTACACGAGTCTTCTGAGTTTATATGGAATGTTGATGATGGAAAATAGTGGAAAATCTGAAATAATAAAATTTCCTTGGGGTCTATTTTGCCTCACAATGCCATGCATGTATCCCTCCACCATGAATGGATTAAAGTAAATGGACTAAAATACATTTTAATATAGCATAATAAATTATAATATATATTTAATCTAATTATTCATTAGATACTATTAATTATTCAGTTACTGTTATGAATTATAAAGTATCTGCTATGAATTATTAATGAACTACTATGCATTATTATGTATCTACTATTAAGTATTTAGTATGTATTATGAATTATTGTATAATATATTTATTCAGTAGCTACTATGAATTATTCTGTAACTATTATTAATTATTCAGTACTTACTATGAATTATTCTATTCGATTCAACTCAGTTTATTGTCATTAACATACATTTTAAGCCAAAACATTATCACTAAACTATCATAAAACAGTGTCTCAGTCATCAGGCAGTGAATTCATAACTATTTCATGTAGTAACTTTCTGTGAGGGAGCTTTTAGAGGTGGACGTCTGGTTCCTATCACCACCACTGTGAACAATTCTAAAGTTTCTCTAGAACGAACGACTCTGAACGACTCTGTTCACATCTTAGTCATTTAATTATGTAGAGGGTGGAATTCCCCTTTACCACTAAGACTCCCTTTATCGTGGTGTTGCTATTCACACTAGTGAAGTAATGAAGCTGCTGTTTAGTAGAACTGCAGAAAGTGCTGCTTCAGTAACAAATGAGCCTCAAACCCCCAGTATGTCAGTGTCTCTTTATCCCAGTATGGGTCCTTTAGCCCAGTAAGACCCAGTGTGACTCTCTGTCCCAGTGCTGGACGGCACTGGCTCTTTAACCTGCTGTTTGTATCTCACCTGCAGCGGCTGCGATCGGTAAGGTCACCGCTCCGGTCATTCCGGTGGAGCCAAAGATCGCCACGTTCTTAACTGCATCAGCCATGCCTGTCTGTCTGTCCGCCTGTCTGTCTGCCTGTCAGAGTGAGAGAGTATGTGTCAGTCTACAGGATGAGGGCTGAAGGTTTAAGTCTGCACCAGCTCACTCACTTCCTCACTTACAGACAGATGTCCAACTCCTGAACGAATCGTTCTTTGAATCGGTTCTTTTCAACCGGCTCTTTCCTGTAAACAAGTCGAAGCGATTCACAACCAAATAAATCGTTCTTTTTTTTCTTCTTTTTTTTTTTTATAGCATCTGATGTTTATGTATTATGTAGACTGGATGATTAAAACATAAATGCATAGTTGCTGTTTATTTGCTGAATTTGCTGAGTTTATTTGCTGAATTTAACACACTATTTTATAAAACATAAAATATAAAAGTGCCATAATTTTTGCAGAGACTACATTTTATGTTTTAATTTGTCCCAAATGTGTCAGCAAACAAACTCGGAATTGGAAAAAAAGATGTTATATGTGTTATACTGTTATATGGGCTTATGCTATGTGAGCTATATGCAAGGTACTATATAAACAAAATGCATTATAATTATTACATTAATAATACTAATACTACTAATCATAACAGTAATATATTGTTGTTGTTGTTAATAATAATATTAATATTAAGAAGACGTTATTCTAATTTGCTTGTATTATTTTTCTTCCTAGAACGAAAATGAATCTCTATATCGGACGTTCGATTCACTGAATCGGACAGTTTAAAAGAGTCGGTTTCATAAACTGAATCGAACTTCTCGGAGACGTCATGACGGACCGCCCTCGGAATGGCTTACACGCCAGTCATCCCCGCCCCTTTTGTGCTGCTATTGGCTAGTAGTTCACACCATAAGCAGGCCGCCGATTGGCCTGATTCAGAAGTCACTCAAGTCACCATAGCAACCGGCTTTACCGCGGAACAGTGGTGAGAAACGAAAACAAACGAGTTTCTAACATTTCAGCGTTAAAATTAATATCATACACATATTACATATAAGAGTTTCTGTACTTTAATCATATGAGGAAGAAAAAACAAACAAATCTCCACTCACAGAGAAAAATAACTGAATGTGCTGCGCGGTTAAACGTTACAAAATCTTAAAATATATAAAATAAAAGTCCCACCTGTTAAATTATCAGTATGATAGATGTTTCCATCATGCTGTGCAGAAACTTGCAAATTTTCAGATTTTTTACCATAGAAAATGTACACTAAATATATAATAAAATGATAATACATATAATTATTTAATTATTTAAATATAATTTAAATGATCAAATTATTGATAACAATATTTTCAAATCAATAGCCTAATATTATTCAATGTCAGCAATGGATTCTGTTGTTTCTTATTCATGCTTGCTACTCTTACATCTTCATTTTGTTATCTGTTTATCTTTTTTGTGATTACTGAAAGCAAATTTGCATGTTGTAACATTCAAAATATTTTTATTCTGTTCTATTCTATTATTTCGTTATATTATATTATACTCTATCATGTTCTATTCTGTTCTGTTATATTATTGTGGCGTCGGCAGAAGAAGAAACACACACACACACACACACAGACACACACAAAACCCCCAACTAAACCAACACCCCAACACATAACAACACAATAAACAGACTTACACTATTTATTCTATTCTACTCTATACTGTAATTTTATATTCTACTCTATTCTATTCTATTCTATTCTATTGTGCTTTATTATGTTCTATTCTGCTCTATTCCATTCCTTCTATTCTGTTATGATATATTATACTTTATTATGTTCTATTCTATTCTATTCCATTTTATACTGTAATTTTATATTCTACATTATTCTGTTCTATTCTATTGTACTTTATTATTTTCTATTCTGCTCTATTTTATTCCTTCTATTCAGTTATGTTATATTGGACTTTATTCTATTCTATTCTATACTGTTATATTGTACTCTATCATGTATTCTATTCATTTCTATTGTATTCTCTTCTCTTCTCTTCTCTTCTCTTCTCTTCTATTCTATTCTATTCTATACTGTTAAACTGTACTCTGTCATGTTGTATTCTAACAGCTTCAACTCTTCTGGGAAGGCTTTCCACAAGGTTTAGGAGTGTTTATGGGAATTTTCGACCATTCTTCCAGAAGCACATTTGTGAGGTCAGACACTGATGTTGGACGAGAAGGCCTGGCTCACAATCTCTCTAATTCATCCCAAAGGTGTTCTATCGGGTTGAGGTCAGGACTCAGGACTGTGCAGGCCAGTCAAGTTCTTCCACACCAAACTTGCTCATCCATGTCTTTATGGACCTTGCTGTGTGCTCTGGTGCGCAGTCATGTTGAAACAGGAAGCGGCCGTCCCCAAACTGTTCCCACAAAGTTGGGAGCATGAAATTGTCCAAAATCTCTTGGTGCTGAAGCATTAAGAGTTCCTTTCACTGGAACTAAGGGGCCGAGCCCAACTCCTGAAAAACAACCCCCCACCATAATCCTCTCCACCAAACTTTACACTCGGCGCAATGCAGTCAGATAAGTACTGTTCTCCTGGCAACCGCCAAACCCAGACTCGTCCATCAGATTGCCAGATGGAGAAGCGTGATTGGTCACTCCAGAGAACACGTCTCCACTGCTCTAGAGTCCAGTGGCAGCGCTTTACACCACTGCATTCGATGCTTTGCATTGCGCTTGGTGGTGTAAGGCTTGGATGCAGCTGCTCGGCCATGGAAACCCATTCCATGAAGCTCTCTACGCTGTTCTTGAGCTGATCTGAAGGCCACGTGAAGTTTGGAGGTCTGTAGCGATCGACTCTGCAGAAAGTTGGCGACCTCTGCGCACTATGCGCCTCAGCATCCGCTGACCCCGTTCTGTCATTTTACCTGGCCGACCACTTTGTGGCTCAGTTGCTGTCTTTCCCAAATGCTTCCACTTTGTTATAATCCCACTGACAGTTGACTGTGGAATATTTAGTAGTGAGCAAATTTCACGACTGGACTTGTTGCACAGGTGGCGTCCTATCACATTCCCATGCTGGAGTTCACTGAGCTCCTGAGAGCGACACATTCTTTCACTAATGTTTGTAGAAGCAGTCTGCAGGCCTAGGTGCTTGGTTTTATACACCTGTGGCCATGGAAGTGATTGGAACACCTGAATTCAATGATTTGGATGAGTGAGTGAATACTTTTGGCAATATAGTGTATGTTGCCAAAACATATGTATATTGTTCAGCATTAATGGTGCCTTCACAGATGTGCACTCATGTCACCTATGCCATGTGCACTAATGCCCCCCTACACCATCATGAATACTGGCTTTTGAACTGTGCACTGATAACAAGCTGAGTGGTCTTTAGCCCGGAGGACACAGTGTCCTCTGGAAGGAATTTTAAATGTTGATTCATCGGACCACAGGACACTTTTCCACTTCCCCTCAGTCCGTTTTATATGAGCTCAGGCCCAGAGAAGGTGGCAGCATTTCTGGATCCTGTTTATATCTGGTTTCTTCTTTGCGTTTTAGAGTTTTAACTTGCATTTGTGGATGCATTGATGAACTGGTTTCACAGACAGTGTTTTTCAGAAGTGTTTCTGAGCCCATGCAGTGATTTCCACTACAGAATCATGTCTATTTTTTATACAGTGCCGCCTGAGGGCCCAAAGATCATGGCCAGAAAATACTGGTTTTTGGCCTTGTCCCTTACATACAGAGATTTCTCCAGATTCTCTGAATCTTTTAAAGTTATTGTATTCTGTAGATGAAGAAAAACAGCAGTTCTTTGCTATTTCATGTTGAGAAACGTTATTCTTGAATTTCACCCTTATAAAAATGAGGGATTGCAGTTTTTTATTCCCATATCAGGCTAGGCAGATCGACTGCTGCGCGCCTTCCTGCCAGTTAATATTTTAATAAGATGTGTGTTACTTAATAATGTACAAACCTCTTTGAGCCAATGCATGACCTGCTAGCCAATCAGAGCACCGGGGGCGGGGCAACACCTACCCACTATTATCCAATCCCAGTACAGAAGTTTAGACACTACCAGCCAATCCCAGCACAGGACGTGGAGAGTTAGTATCCAATCACAGCGCAGGAGGCGGGACACGAACGGCCAATCCGTGCCCAGGAGGGCGGGCTTATCGGGAATACGGGTGGGAAATGTAACCCACCGCAGTTCCGCCGCGTAGAGGCTGATTCAGGCTCACAGACCGGCTGCGGTGAGGCTGACCGCGCGCGCACACACGCACGTTCCGTGTTATCGGCGTGATTAGGCGGCGGTGGACTGTTCACAGAGCGCGGGGTCACTAAATACGGGACATCGACCTTGTTTCGGGGGAAATCGCCCTGTTTGTGATTCAATTGACTGTGTCAGCGGGGCTGTAATGCGGCGCGAGGCGGAGGGGAGCCCAGCCCGGGTGCACTGAGAGCCTGGACTGCATTTACACCCATCCACACGAGCCGCACGCGCATCATCAGGGCTGGAGGTGCAGGTGAGGCTGTGATGTGCAGCGCGTCCTTATCATTTGTGTTTGTATTAACATGTTATGTTACATTGCAGTGGATTGGGTTGCATTGCATGCAGCACTGAGCGCGCGCACACTTGGTGCAATTGATTCGTCCAGTGCTGGAGGATGCACAGCCTGGCCTGGGCTTCAGTGCTGCTGCTGCAGTCATTTCTGGGCCGTGTCCTGTCCTGTCCTGTCCTGTCCTGTGGTGGTGTTTAACCTTACAGCATTAGGAGGCTGTAGTTAGTATCCAAACCTACAGCGTTCCTATAGACTGTCTGCTTATCTGGCAGCTGTTTATGTATTTTTAGGCCTGTGCATTAAAAAAGATGCCTTTCTGTGTCACATTGAAAGTTGATTTGAAGCGTTTAAGCTTCAGACATGGTGGTGTAGCTTATAAACAAGGTCTGGAGAACGTGTCAGTGCCCTGTGGACGTTTCTGGGTCATATTTCTGGAGATTTGTGTGATTTTGTTGCAGTAATAACTGCGCTCACACTTATAGCCCCCTAATAGTGATGCTAATGCAATCTGCATATAAATACAATAGAGCATAAATGCACAAAGCATCGGCCCCCCAGTGCTGCATTAACACCTCCAAGGGTTCTTTAGTGAAGGGAATGGTTCTATCTAGAACTATGAGTTCTACACTCTTAAAAAAGAAGGTTCTTCAAGGGTTCTTCAG